TCAACCTTGGTCTACCAAGTGGTCTTACGCCTTTTGGAGAGCCACATAGTACCCTGTGTATAAGGGCGCTTTTTTTTCGCCATGCGTGGCCAGCCCAAAAGAGCCGCCTCTTTGTTATATCGTCGACTATGTTTGGTTTCTGATATGGCTTCCTGATCTTCACATTATGTCTAATTCTCCATTCTCCTGTATTCCTACAAAAGTTCTATACAGTTGTACTTTTAGACTCTTAGACAACAATCTTTTGACTTGAACAGCTTGTCCAATCCAAAATAGCATCTATTGCCTGCCTGTATTCTTGCGTTTATCTCCTCTTGTATTTCATTATTCTGAGTTAAAAGTGTACCTAGGTACTTGAGCTTCTGAACTCTATTACACCGAGAGATATTCAAATTTTTATAGGAATTATTGAATTTGCTTGAATATAGAGTTTCGTAATTGTATCTATCAATTTATCTAGATGATTCAAAATTGAATTCAGTTGGATTTTTTGTAAAACCAACAAATTTACATCTCTCAATCTCTCAAAATAAAAAATTAAGCAGTAATATACAAATGTGAAAAGAATATTACTTTTTTAAACGTTTTTTTTTTTAATTTACCGTTTTGTTTTGTTATAGGGCACACTCTGGTGAGAAGCCCTACAAGTGTGAGTTGTGTTCTAAGCCATTTTCTAAAAAATCTGGCCTAAGAGATCACGAGCGCGTGCACACCAGGGAAAAACCTTATAAGTGTGCTATTTGCTTAAAATCATTTTCACGTAAAAGCTACCTCTCAATACATGGACGAGTACACGCTGGCGAAAAACCCTATAAATGTGCTGTATGTTTTAAGTCGTTTACTGATAAATCATACCTTACAAAACACAACAAACGCGTACACTCTGATTGATTACCCTCAAAAATATGTTTACTCAAGTTTATTTTCTCAATAATCGAAGTTTATAAATTTTAACTTAAAACTATATAGTAATATATTTTTTATTTTATTACTAACATAAAAATGTGTATATGTGCGTTACTTATTTCAATCAATGTTTATTGAAACGTGTTTGTATACTTCTGGAGCAAAATGTATTTTTAATTATATTGTTAGATATTGTGTTTAATCAGTGCACGTTAAATATTGTAAGCTACTAGACACTAGTGTTTGTAATGATTAAACAAAACTACATAATTATAATAATTTTATATAATGACTATTGTAATTTGTTTAAAATATATATGTATACAATTATTTGATAACTTCTTTTATTCCTTTTTTTGTTATCACTTCACAGGCAGTGCCCAAAGTAGAGTAGTAGAATGTATAAAAATATATAAGCTAAGGGTAAATACAAGAGTGAAAGAAAAAAAATATAAATATAAATGTTAATAATAACAATTAAATAAGAAACTATAAAAAAGTAAGACTGTATCTTATCTCGATCGTACAATTTATCTCTTGGGATACGTAGCCAATGAAAATGGTCTTTATTTAGGCGACAAAAAACTTAACATTATTTCTTACAGCCTACTAGTATCCTCGCTAGAATACGAAACGACAGTCTTGTAAAAAGACTTTGAAATAGCATAACGCATTCTACCATCGGTGCCGTCTCAATACTAGACAAGATTGGCCCATTTCTTAAAAAAACAAGTAAACGAGGAATATAAAAATAAAAATAAATTCTGTTTTTTGTCAAGTCTTAAAAACTGTTCTTCTTCTTGGATTTTTCGGCCATCAAGACCTTTCCGTCACACATCTTAAACACTGTTATTTATTTTTAATTTTCAGGGTTACAAAAAGCAAGCATTAGTCGTATCAACTGATGTTGAACACAAATTTAAACTAGCTATTGAACTACAAAACTTGGCCAAAGCTTTGGTATTGGTGAAAGAAGCTTCAAGTCCTCAGAAATGGAGACAACTATCTGAATTGGCTTCGGCGCAAGCCGACTTGGAGTTAGCACAAGAATGTTTACATCAAGCTCAAGTTTAATATATAATATATTTATACAATTATTTGATAACTCCTTTTATTTATTTATTACCAGCTTTCGTCACCTGACGTTGCCCGGATTTAGTTTGCCAGGGCTAAGTAAAATTAATATATATATAATCGGTATAAGTTATACATTAATGAAATGTTTTGAAAAAACATTGAAAAATCATATAATAGTTGCGTGACAGAACAGAACGATCTTTTAAAAACATTTGACGGGAATATATATATACAAGTAATTATTTTTTATATAAATATTGTAACTAAATACCTAAATATAAAGTAATAATAAAATGTCGCACTGTCACTACAAACGAATAATCGATACACTGATAGCACCTAGTACACTTTTCTACCATAACATTCATTACTCGCTTCTCAGCAATATTATATAAAGTTATGTGATCCAGCACACAACTGGATTACATAGTGCACACGCATTAACCCAGTAAGGCAAAGTTTAATTTAATGTAAGTTATCACTTGATTTTTCGTTAAAATAAAGAGATGAAAAAGTTCTTCTTGTTCTGTACATTACATAGTATTTATTATTATTAAAAGTACTGTTCAATAATTCAAAAACTTTTTTTATAAATCTACAGTGTAAGTTTACGTTAAATAATAAGTAATACAAAAAAAAAAAATTAAGTAAATAGAGAGCGCAAGTAAAAAACCTGAACGAATTAATGAATTTGCTGGAAAATAGAGATACGTCTCCAAGTTCTTCTTATATTTTCTAATTGTATTGTTATCTATAATTCTATCTATTTATCCAGATGACTCAAATTTATTAAGGTGCACACTGGGTGAAACCCCAATAAATGTGCCGTAAGTTTTAAGTAATTTACTACAAAATCAAACCTCACAAAACACAACAAACCCGTACACACGGATTGATTACCCCAAAAAATATGTATACTTTAGTTTTTGATAAAGTATCCAAATTATAATCACACGCTATGTTCTGATTTGCGTTTTTCTTAAATTTTCGATCGAGGATAATTTCATGAATAAATATTTATTAGAAATGAGAACCAGATAAAATCGTAGCACTTTATTTATTTGACTTCATTTATTGTTTTGATAACATTATGATAAGACTGTTAGGGTTTTGGGTAAACTATGATTAATTTTCACAACAACTAAGAAGGCACAATTTAACACGTAAGGTCACAAAATAAAAATGATTACATCATTATGATGAGAAAAAACTGTATTGAAAAAGGTAAATCGGAATTTACAAACCGTATAAATCGCTTATCCTACTTGAAAAACGATTTAAAATTTTGATACAATTAAGATAAATTTAAATTTAATAATAACATTATGTTAAAAAAAAACATTTCCATTGAGAAAAACGATTAAATGAAGCTATTACTTGAAAATCAATAGCTTTAAATGACTGTTTTATTACTTTCCTCAACATGGCAAAACTATATTGACTTTCAAAATCCTCAAATAATGTAAAATTATCTTTATCCCAAATAGTATTGTAACGATCTAACATGGACCACCGGTGTGAAAAATACGTTTTAGTGAACTTACCAGTAGTAAAGTTACTTTGGTCGAAAAAAAAATTATTCGAATTTATTTCAATTAGACGTGCCATAACGGTATTTTCAAGCTCTTTGTTTTTTTCCACATCGGCTAACATGGATTCTGATGATGTGTAACGTTCCAGCAGTCTGTGGCCTTTGGATACTTTAACACACAAGTGGTTGAAGAAGGAAGATGGATGTTTCGTAAATAAAGTTAATACTTTCAATTAAAAATAGGTAATATATGTATTACAATATAAGCATTAAGTTGATACACAGATAATGAAAATAAGTGCTTGTTGCAGGTATGTCATAATACACAGCCAAGAACACTTCTGAGGTGCTGTGGTGAAACGGCTGGTATTTACGCAAAATGTCCATCCGGTTCGAGTGGAAGGAGTCCTTCGAATCCCCGCCTCGGTGACCTTTTCTCAGTTGTGCAAGCGTTAATCCGGGTTGTTGGTGAATGGCCAAGTTGTCTTCTGCTAAGTGCCTAACATTGTCGGATAGATACAATTTATGTGTTTGTTTGTGCGTTTTTACAATCTTTCAGTTGTACAAAATATATAATTTGCATAAATAAATTGGCTTTTACAATTTATAATTTGGATTTTACAATTTATGACGTTGTTTACATTTTGGTTATATACAAAGTATAGAATAACTCCTTTCGGTCGTACACATATTAGTATTCAAGGAGAAATCGGTCATGACGTAAACATGGCTGGACTTAGTAACCCATTACACTTCTCTCCCCTAAGAAAGATGTTTTGTACATTTATGGATAAAACATCTTTGACAATACTCAATTACATGCCTGTGTATCATTTACATATCGTTAAAATTACAATGGTTTTTTTTTTTAAAAGTTATACATTATATGGTTATACATTTGGATACATAGTGAATATATAGGTTAATAGTTAGTTTTACATATAGTTTAGTTTTTTTTTTTTAAAACATTCAAAATTAGTGGTTAGTATATAGGTTAGTATTACAATATATCTTATTTCTTATTATTTTTTTCAATTACAATTACAATATACTTTTTTTTTCATTAAAGTACAATACAATATATATATATTTTTTTTCATAGCACAATATATTTTTTTTTTTAAATTGACATTATAATATTTTTAAAATACAATTACAATTTATTACCTTAGATAATATCTTCAGTTAATTTAGAATCTATGATAAAAGCATCTTTCTCTCTCTATAATTTTGACTGAGTTATAATCTTATTAATTATTATTAATCACAATCTGACGTCGGTTTGTGTCCTTGAGCTCGGTGTGAGAAAAGACAAGTCCTGCCTTTCCTAGAACCATGGGGAACAACACGTCCGTCTTCATTAAATGAGGTACGAGTAATTTTCTTTAAATAAATAAGGAAGGGTGGACTTAATCAAGACAGGGCCATACCAGTTCGGTGTGAAGAGAGACAAGTCCTGTCCCCCTTAGAACTTTTTAGGCATAGCCTAGTCTATGATCTCGTCCACTTCATAATCCATATTAGGTAGTTCCCCCGTAATTTGTGATATTAAATAGTCTCTGTCTTGGACAGCTATGACTAATGCCATGCTAACGTTGTAGGGTCGTAAATTATTAAAACGATTTCTAAATGTAGTTTTAACTTGTTTTTCGACACTTTTAAGAAATCTAATGGGGAAATTGAATGTATTAGCCTCTACTAATATGTCCCAAAGTGTTCGTCTTCTTTTATAAATAGTGCAGTTTTCAAAGGCTATTCTTAGTATGCTAATAAAATACTTTGTTACATCTGTTACATTTTCATGTTCAAAAAATGTATCTAATAGGTTATCCCCCTCTATGGCCGCGATAACGAGTGCCATTGAAATGTTATATGGTCGTAACGACCCATAAAGTTCCCTCATTAAATTTGTAATATCCTTTTCACTGCTTTTCAAATACTGCTTATCAAATTTTATAATTAATTCTGAATTTACTTCAGCTATTATGGTTTTCAATGTGTGTCTGGGTGCAAGATGGTTAGTGCAATTGTTTAAAGCACAATTTATGATTTTTTTCATAAAGACTATACGGGGATTGCTCGTACTCATTATGTCTAATGTACTAATGCTAATGTAGGTAGGAAAGTTTTCCATTCACCTAGAACATTAAAACATATATTTTTAGAATTTAAATGTTAGTAATACTTATGCTACTTATTTCGTAATGTTAGTTATGTTTTTTTTTTTCTTTTTTTTGTTTTTCTTTTTTCTTAAACTAGGCATGTCCTTAATTAATCTGTAAAATCTAATTGGCCTTAACTTTCTAATAATATAGTTCAAAACACAGCGAGAAGCCACCGTGTCAAAAACTGGATCATGAAAGTTCATGTGGGGGGAGTGTGTTTCTATACACGTTAATTCGTGAGCTTCCCTTAGGTTCAGATCCCTTCCTCCCTTCTTTACCTCCCCTAGAAACTCATCGTAATAGATTTTTCCGGTCACCATGTTTAGCAACTTTAAATTGAACCGCCCGTCATTGTTATTATCCCAGGCGGTCATATTCAAGTATTTATAGACATTTTTCAGTCCCATTTGCTGTAATATTTTGTAGTCATGGTTACCGTTCCAAAATACTACGATGGGTTTCCTTGAACCTTTGTGGATATACTTTGAGATGGAGGATAAATTCATCGTTGAGGGTCCCTTTTGACACAGTCCTTTATTTAGCTCGTTTAATAACGAGCCAAACGCTGGTTTCGTTGCCTTAAATCTATTGCACTGTCGAGTAAGCGATCTGAGTTCCTGGTCTGTAGCCTGTCGTGGCGCACAATTCGTGGTTACCACTACCGGAAATCCCGATAGCTTCACTGGGTCATTATTCTTGTGCGTTGACAACAGGCAGCCCGACACAGTGACATATTCACTGTTGGCTTTCGGCAGAAACTCGAAATCGGCTACTATGATCTTTATGTTTGCGCTAAAACAGGTTTCATTACATTACTACAGATATAACGTCATACGTATATTAGTCGTCCTTCACCATGATTTTTCTTATATATATATTTAAATATTTATATATCTCTACTTGCTACTTGTTATTTTGTTGCTTAATATTTTATAAAGGTATTTCCTCTCCCGCGCGCACGGCTTGTCCAATCCTATTGGCTCGTGCTCGTCTTAAGCGGTTATACTGTAGTATATCATTTATATATAATACTACTAGAATTATTATTAAGTTAGCTATGCTGAGACCTAACAAAACGTATTCATATATACTTTGTATAAATGGTACATGAAAAATATCGGCTTCTGCTTCGAGTTGTCTTGTTGACTTCCCGTTAGTTAAAAGATCACTAATTGAACGAGCTTGTGTGTGAAAGGCATTTAAAAAGTGGTTATTAAACCTTGAACTCAAATATGTTGGTTCAGGCATGGTGATATTAGCAATAAAATCATTATATCCTTCAGAAATAATTTCTTTTCCTGGTATTAATACATCTTGATCGCTGTAGGCTCTACAAGACGAATTTAAACTTAGTATCCCATTATTTTCTAATTGTATCCGCTCTGCGGGGTGATCCCCACAGGCCATAAAAATGGTCTCTCCAGGTGAGATATAAAGCCATTTATTTTTATTTGTAAATTTATAGAAAATAGTACTGGATATTCTGTTATAAAGGATTTTGCAATTACTAGGAACAATTCTTTGTTGTTTTAATAGTAAAAGCTCACAAACTTGCAAATTGCTGTAAGCATGGAGTGGATATAATTCGTCACATAGTAAGAAATTTGAGCTTCGTTTACAGTTTAACTGATCAATTTTTTCGAATGTCGAATATCGTTCATGATTGTTTGTTACAGCGATATAGTGAAATTTTGGCTTAATATACATACAAGTCTGGTTATTACAAATTGGCAAAGGAACAATGTGATACAAAAGTAGCCGATCTTTTAAAATTACGGGCAAGTTTATTTTAAATACAATTTTCCCATCAGCATAATAAATAATAATTTGTGACAATCTAATTGTTTCAGCTAAGTGATCAAGACTAGTATCAAACGGAAGCTGAGTATTTGATTCCAATTGGTTTGCTATAAAAACAAATTGCGTCTGAAGTTCGTCAATACTTATTAAACTAGAATGAAGTTGACCTAACCGTGCTAATTGTAGTATTTCAAATATGAGATTAGATTCATAAATGTATTGTGATAATAACAATTCAATTTCAGCGACATTACCTAATCGGAATAATTCCATCATCCCTGTGGTAAAGATATCGGAAGGTGGTTTTATTTGTGGTGGCAAAGTTTGACCAGGTTTAACATTCTGTGATATTTTAAATACCCTAGTATTTTGCGGCAAGGCTGTTTCGCCTCCGTCTAGATAATTCTTTATAAGAGATTCGGATTTTTCTAAGCATGTATCGCTACAAAGCCCAAAGATGGTCTTAGCTGTTTTCGCCAAAACTGACCACGGTATAGCACGTCGATTTTTGACTTTAGTATGCCCTACAGCTTTTAGACTTAAATCTATTTTTCGCCCAACTTCTTCGCGAATAAAATCTATTTTATCTACTATAAAGGCACATCGCTGTGATAGAGTTTTATCAGTAGTAGTTACATTATTTATTGAATTCCATTCAAAGGTGCGATTATCATAATTTTTACAATATTCTTTTAATTCGGTAATACGTAGTTTTAATTGGTCTGAATTAGTATTATAATAGCTTAAATCTAGATATGCGGTAAAATCGTAAGTTGTTTGTTGAACTCTCATTTGTCCCAAACTTTCATACAGTAAACCCGCAGTGGTTAACAGTCTGTCATCTTGATAAGGCGTGGTTGACTTAACAAGTCGTACTATAAATAGTAGTGGTATTGTGCTGAAATTTTAATCGAATTCTTTTATTATTATAGTGATCAAAACAAAATTTGACACAATAAGAATTGATTCACAATTTTTTTTCATTGGAACAAAAATACAGGTAAAAAGATTATTTTCTAGGAATGGGAATTAAGTAATTAGATAGTGGAACATTATTTATTAGCTTTTTCCGTTTGTCCAAGTGATTGAAAAGAAATGATATAACAATGCGTTAAAAGACATTTTTTATAGAACCCCTTGTTTAAAATTATATAAAATGCCCTAAATGTTTTGGAACCGTAGTCGTAATTTTACGTTTTTTTTTTTTTTTAAGCAATGTACCTGTTATACAGAAGATACCAAACGTTTATAATACTTGAATATTACAGTACATTTCTCAATGAACTGGCCTGCCCTTTCTATTCGTTGTAAGCGGTTTAAACTGGTCGTGTGTGTTACGTGTGTCACCAAAAACGGTTTGAGTACAATGTGACAACGTTGTAACACCCCAAAAGGAATGCGGTTTTTATTGTCGACCTTCCGTTGGTCCAGCGTGCACCTGTCTTAAGAGTATCGTGATGAAATCGCCCTACACAGGTTTTCGATTCCCGCCGCGTTTAGTATGCGTCCCGCCATATTCTTGTATCGTTGTTAGTATTATTTCAAACGTTTGTGTTGCTTTAATATAAAATTTTACATTTTATATTTTCTTTTAAGTTATATTTTAAGTTATATAATTATTAATATGTATTAATGTATTTCAGAAAATTAAATAATACCAATAACGTTAAAGTAACAGCATAATATAAAATAACTCATATTTAAAATATGCGTCAGGCGTCATTACGCCATTTTTTTTCATTATTATTTTTTTTTAAATAAAATAAATCATAGACCTACTCGGGGAGACAAATCGCACACCGAATTCTGGTTTTACTAAAGAACTTGTTTTATATTCATCATGGCGAAACAACTACAGGTTAGTGAAAGCTATTTTATTTATGTGCAGTGTTTTTTTTTAGTGAACTAAAAGTGTTTTCTCTTTTTTTTTTATTAATTTGATTTAAAAGTGCAATATTATAGAAACATGGCAGTCTTAGTATTACTCTTCTTCATCGGAACTATGACTGAAATATTTCTTTACATTATTTAAATGAACAACCACGTGTTTATTTCCCCGTAATATCTGTACATTGTGGGACCCTATTACTTCTGTTACCTTATATGGTCCTTTCCAAAGTGGAGCTAATTTATTTCTTTGAGTATGATCCATTAACAAAACGTCGTCTCCCACCTCTAATTCTATTGGATTAATTTTCTTATCGTAGCGTTCCTTTGACTCTACCTTTTTCTTTATTAAATTTTCCCTAGCTATTTTATGAGCTACTTGCATACGCTGCTTTAAATCAAAATAGTAATCATCATAATTATAACGAGGTTCTGGTTCGCGCTGTAATTTAAAAGGTATTTCTATAGATCTACCATATACCAATTGATACGGGCTATAGTTAGTCGACGTATGCACAGTATTATTGTAAACAAAGATAGCGTACATTATATTTTTATCCCAATCATCTAAGTTCTTATTTGAATAAGCACGCAGATATTCTGCTAAGTTCCTGTGGAGCGTCTCAAGCGAGCCAAGCGACATCGCGTGATGAGCTGAAGCTTGAGCTTTATCTATATTTAGCAACTTGCATACTCTGAGCAAAAGTTTTTGATAAGAAATCCGTTCCTTGATCGGTTAAAATTCGTTCTGGAAGTCCATGTAAACACACAAAATGTATTACAAGTGCTTCTGCGACCGTATTAGCTTTGTGGTCGGGTAGGGGAATGCCAAGGCAAATTTAGTAAGGTCGTCTTTGATCGATAAAAGATAATTGTTGCCTAAGTCAGTGGTTCGCATAGGACCGACTATATCTAATTGAATGGTCTGGAAAGCTCGTGAACTTGTACTAGTAATAGCAAGAGGTTGTTTAACGTGGTGGTTCGATATTTTGTTGCGTTGGCAAGAATCGCATTTTTTAATATACTCTTTTACTTCCTTTTTAAGCCCCTTCCAGTTAAAATAGTGCTTTATTTTTTTAATCGTCTGATTCACGCCTAAATGGCCACCAGCAAGCTTTGAGTCATGATATTGCGCAAAAATAGTACGTTTTTCTTCCGGTGTAAACTCTACGCGTGAACAAATAATAATATTTATGTCGGTATCACGGAAAACATACCGTATCATTGACCTCACGTGTGACCAGTCTACGTCGTCATCATGTCCTAATTTATTCATGGCTAGTTTGTTTAAGTTGTTTTCTTCACAGAACTGCCGTAATGCTACTAACGATAAAAACAGGTTTTCACACGTCGTTACCTGCTGATCGCGTGTTTTCGTTATTAAAAATATAATGTACCGGTCGCTATTTTTTATGAAAGTCGTTTCTCCAATATCACCGGCCTGTACGTTTTGGTCGGCTCCGAATTTCTGTTTTAACTGGTAGTTAATACCGGTTCTAAAATTAAATTGCTTCGCGATCTCTGACACTATGTGATATTCGTCGGGTGCGTCTATTAATTCCCCCGTTACTTCGGATACATTTTTATTAGTAATCAACTGTGTTTCAAATTTTTCAAGGAAAACTGGGTACGTTAAGTCTTTAACTTCCGTAATGCTGTATACTCGGCTTAGCGCGTCTACGTTCGAATTTTGTACTCCCGGCTTATAACGTATTTCATAATCGTATTCTTCTAATAATATTCGCCAACGGGCTAACTTTGATAAAGGGTCTTTTAAGTTAAAGAGCCACTGCAAAGCTCTGTGATCTGAATATATTGTGAACTTTCGTCCATAGAGATAAGGCCTGAACGTTTTTACCCCAAATACTATTGCTAAACATTCGAGTTCGGTTGTTGAGTAGTTACTCTCACTTTTATTTAAAGTCCTAGAGGCATATGCTATAGGCTTTTCTTCTTTAGGCTCCCCCTGTGACAATATAGCTGCCAATCCCTTTAAACTAGCATCCGTAGTTAATATAAATGGCCTAGTAAAATCTGGGTATTGCAAAACGGGTTCTGAACATAGCGCGTTTTTTAATGTATCAAATGCCTCCTGACAACTTTCTGTCCATACAAATTTTACCCCTTTTCTTAATAGATTAGTTAATGGTTTTGCAATGCTACTATATTTATCAATAAATTTTCTATAGAAACCTGAGAGACCTAAAAAGCTCTTAATTTCTTTTGGCGTTCTGGGGACAGGAAAGTTTAGAACCGCTTGGACCTTCGATTGGTCCGGACGAATACCATCAGCTGAAATAACATGCCCGAGGAATACACATTCCCTTTGAATAAAATGGCATTTATCTGGCTGAATCTTTAAATTATGCTGTCTTAACCGATCGAAAACGTCACGTAGCTTAGAGTTATGCTCGGTGAGCGTACTCGAATACACGATAATATCATCCATGTACAGTAATGCCTTAAGTCCTATTAGCCCTGATAGTACTGTAGCCATAAGACGTGAAAAGGTCAAAGGGCTTCCTTTTAAACCCATAACTGTCCGAGTAAAAATCATGTGTCTCGCTCCGTGTCTGGAGTTCATTACGGTGAATCCAGTGAGTTCCCGTGACGCTTCTGATAAGGGAATTTGATAAAATCCCGAGGCTAAATCTAGGACGCTAAAAATCTGACTTCGGCCTAATTGGTCAAGTATCTCGGTAATATTAGGTATCGGATAAAATTCATCTAACGTAACAGCATTTAACCCCCGAAAATCAACTACTATACGGTACTTTTGAATCCCACTAGCGTCTAACTTTTTCTTTACTAACAACAGTGGTGAATTCCAAGGAGAGAAGCTTTCCTGTATTATCCCGTCCTGTTCCATTTGCGATACCTGTCTACTTATTTCTTCTTGCTGCGCGAAAGGCAATCTATACGGTCTTAGGTACACGGGCTTTTGATCTGGTTTTATTCTAATTTCGTGTTCTATTGTATTAGTACAAGTTAATTTATCTCCCTCTAAATGAAATATATCTGCATAATCCCCACATATTCCTAAAATAGTTTCTTTTTCCTCAGCGTTCATATGATCGCTCCTAATTAATGTTTTAATCTTATTGATTCTGTCTTCTTCGATATTTTCTACATTAATATTGTAAATACTATAACTGGTTTGTCCTTCATAAGTTATTTTACTTAAATCGTGTCTACTTAAACATGTCTCGGTTTCCCGATATTTAATAGTCCTACTATAAACCCACCATCCTTGACAAGAGAAATCGCGCTGCTACAATATACGTCCCTAACCAATTCTTGTTTATTTATTAATATCTCCTGCCCGTCCAAATCAGCTATTGGTACTGTTATGACCGTCTCTGACCTCGGCTGCAATATTATACAGTCGTTATTATTCTTGGCTACCTGCCTACTTTTTGTATCGGTTAGTTTCGCGCTACCGACATTGTTTATTATCCTGTCATCTAAATGAAACTTATTACAGATGCTTTTTACTAATTTATTTCCATTACTATCATTATGAGCCCCGTCTGTATCGACTAAATCCGTGTTCTGTGACCCAATACATTCCAATGTCGTGTTTTCTACATTTATATCCCCTGCGTCATTCGCATTTAAATCTATTTTACTACATTTGTCATTTATTTCATCATAACTAATATTTATATCTTTTTCATTCTTACCCAAAGCAAAATGTTCAATATTATTCGCCGCTTGATGCGAACATGATACACCCTGGCGTAATCCATTATCATTATAATTATTTTTTCAATTTTTCCTGCTAAGGGGAATTCAACTATATCCTCACTTAATCTATTCCTACTGGCTATATTCCCATCAACTACATTTTCATTAATTATACTCCCATTGACTATACACTCGTCAATTATTTGTTCCCCGTTAACCATTAAAATACTCTTGGTATCTGTTTCACCTAACATATTTTCCCCAATTACATTACTATCCATATTCAAATTTTCTTCATTTAATACTTCATTATTCCCAACTATACCTAATTCTTTTTCATTTTCTAAAATATCATTTTTCCCATTTTGCTTACTATTTTCGCCTAAAACATCATCATCATTATCATTTATCAAAAGAACATTATTACCCATATCTATCACCGTGTGATTTTCAGTAAGGAATTTTTCCCCCAAAATACCATCTTCCTGCATTATACAATTGTTACCTACTAAATTAAATTCTGTATATATTTCCTTATTATTAATTATTATCGGAATAACTATAGTACCATACGTTGGTATAATTTTCTCATGAATTCCCTTAAGATAAACCCTTTTTAATTCGTTAACCATAATATCATCTTTTACCGTGCTAATTTTTAAAATATTAATCTGAGAGCCAGTATCGACTAGCAACTGAAAATTATCGTTTTTGCTAGCGTTACTATTACAAAAAATATGCTTATTTATCATTGTCGTTCGGGTGATTCTGAAACAGTCTGAGATTCCACGGCTATTTGCCTCACGACGCGCGTCCCGTGACTCGCGGTCGGTTCCTGAAAATTTTCTGCTTTAATCGCGACGTTCCCCATATTTGCACGTTTCGCGTCATTTTCCCTTTTATAGCAAACAGACTCCCCGTGCCCGATTTTGCCACAATAATTACAGACAATAGGACCCGCATTATTCGAATTAAAATTTCCCGTTTGATAATTAGTATTTTGCCTATTTTGCTGAGGTGGAGGTCTATTATTATTATTGCCATTGTTAGTGTTTAATCTACAATTATAGGATAAATGACCTATTTGGTTGCAAATCCTACAACGTCTATTATCTTCATTAGGACGATTACCATTAAAATTGTTACCCCGATTATTATTATTATTGCCATTATTCCTTGGTGACTGAAAACCCCTATTCCCGTTGTTATTTTGACCCGTATTAAAATTATTCCCTGCGTTTTGCGATTTAAACATATCCTGTACCCCTCTATAAGTGATCAAGTCCTTTTCGGCTAGGACTGCGGTTTGCATAGCACTATCAAGTGTAAGAGGATTTTTAGTTTTAACTTCAAATTTAAGTTGTTCATTTAACCCATTAATATAACTAACCAGAGCCTGTGTTTTTACATTTTCATTTATAATTTTCGCGTCTTCTTTTGATTTTCCCGCAGCTAAAGCGTTACATAATTTTTGATAAACTTCATCTACCCGTTCATTATAACTATTAACTGTTTCATTTTTGTTCATTCTTATTATATTTAATTGAATTTGTAAATTAGCCGCTGCAAAAGGTGTTTCAAACGCGTCAAGCAAAGATTTTTTCAACTCCTCCCATGATGCTAAAGTTTTATATTTAGTACAATTAAATGCACGGCCCGTAAGCTTGGTGCTTATAACCATTTTTAACAAAAGCGGTATTTGATCGGCATTAACTGAATTAATTATTGCCTCACATGCATTTAAAAATTGATAAATATCCGTTTCACCGGAGTATTTAGGAGTTAAATGTAACGCGTCCGTTAAACTTAAAGTGGGAGTTGAAGACATCGTTGCTTGATTAGTTTCTACTTCTGGTGTATTAGCCGTAGTTGCTGTGTTAGTTTCTTTTGCCCTAGATTTTGTTTTCCTAACCGTTTGTAGTTCAACATGCACTACACCTAGTGTACTCCTAGTTAATCGCCTATCTGCTTCCCTAAGTGTTATGTTCAAAAGGTCTATCGGGTCGGTTTCAGATTCCTGATCAATAATAATAGAACTACTGTTACTGTCGTCTAAATTAATTAAATCAATTTCATTAGATTCTAACGTAACCTCAGATAAATCTAATTCTTTCTTAACGTGAGAAGTGTCTAACTGCTTATTATTACTCATACAATCAACTTAATTAACTTATTTATATCCTTATATTATAGATTACTCACAACAGAGCGTTCATTTTTGAGTCGTCTGGTCGTGTCAAAGAGCGTTGAAGAGCAAGAAGGCTGGAATTTCTTCAATTGGTCTTCGGTGTGATGTTGCAATCAGTCCCGCCTTTGACAATCGTACCGTATCTGCGCCAGTGTAAAGTTCCAGCAGTCTGTGGCCTTTGGATACTTTAACACACAAGTGGTTGAAGAAGGAAGATGGATGTTTCGTAAATAAAGTTAATACTTTCAATTAAAAATAGGTAATATATGTATTACAATATAAGCATTAAGTTGATACACAGATAATGAAAATAAGTGCTTGTTGCAGGTATGTCATAATACACAGCCAAGAACACTTCTGAAGGTGCTGTGGTGAAACGGCTGGTATTTACGCAAAATGTCCATCCGGTTCGAGTGGAGGGAGTCCTTCGGATCCCCGCCTCGGTGACCTTTTCTCAGTTGTGCAAGCGTTAATCCGGGTTGTTGGTGAATGGCCAAGTTGTCTTCTGCTAAGTGCCTAACATTGTCGGATAGATACAATTTATGTGTTTGTTTGTGCGTTTTTACAATCTTTCAGTTGTACAAAATATATGATTTGCATAAATAAATTGGCTTTTACAATTTATAATTTGGATTTTACAATTTATGACGTTGTTTACATTTTGGTTATATACAAAGTATAGAATAACTCCTTTCGGTCGTACACATATTAGTATTCAAGGAGAAATCGGTCATGACGTAAACATGGCTGGACTTAGTAACCCATTACA